TGGCCCCCTCCTTGCCCCTCCACGAGCCACGCGAGGGCCGCAGGTGCTCGCGCACGAGAATAACACAGGCAGGGAGAATAGAAGATAATACCGCAGGTCCTCGCGTACAAGCGCGTCGTGACGGCGGACGGGCTGTACGTCCTCCCGAACGTGTGGCACGAGCACGCCGTCTACCTGCACTACATCTGCGCCTTTTACGACTCGCTGCCCCCGCTGAGCGCCTTCCTGCACGGCCACCGCTCCTCGTGGCACAACCGCGGCACAGCAGCTCCGCGGCCCCGCCCTCCCCTCCCGCCGCCCTCCCCGACGCCGCCTCCGCCGCAGCAGGCGAGCCCGCGATCTCGTGAATGACTGCTAAATGACCAGCTAATGACGGCAGGCGAGCCCGCGATCTCGCAGCTGCGCGAGCTGCCCCTCGCGCGGCTCGCAAGGGAGCGCGGCGTCTACTTGTCCTTCAACAACGGGCGGGACACCGAGTACTGCATCCGAGCCCACCTCGAGCCCACGCAGCTCCGCGACTGGCAGCGCGAGGTGCGCGCGCAGACGCACAGCTGGCGCCGCATGATGGCGGCGGACCTCGGCCCTCCGCCCGCGGCGTGCGGCGGCTACTGCTGCACGCAGTTCCTCGTCTCGGCCGACCGGATCCGCGCGCGGCCACACTCCTTCTGGCGCGCCTTCCCCTAGGGGCTCGCACCTTCGACCCGCACCTCACGGCCAAGGTGTCACGCGGTGGCGCGGACGCTGTAGGCGGCGCCTGCTGGCCGACCTGCTCGACGAGGCGACGCCCGCCGTCTGCAAGCCGTCCGGGCACCTGCTCGAGCTCGTCTGGGGCTACCTGCTCGGCGAGCCCGCAAACTTCACCTGCAGCCGCAGCGGGGGGGGCAGCCAGTTCCCGGCGTGGGCGTTGCGAAGGGGGGGCAGAGGCGGAGCTCGATGAGCGAGAACGAGCCTTTTGCGGTGTGGAGCGTGTGACGTGTAACCGGACACACTGTGGCCGGGGCGCCTAATACACACAAGTACAAACGAGCGTGCTATCGAACGCTAGAGCCTAGCCTCCTCCTCCGTCGCCACCTCCCGCTCCGTCTCCTTGTCCTTCCTCCTCCGTCTCCTCCCCCCTCAAGTTGACACTGAGACTGACAAGTGCTCTCTCTCTCACAAGCGTCAAGCGCTGTGCGCCGGGCGGGGCTCTGTGTGCGGGTAGGCGGCTGGCGGGGTAGCTCGGCCGTGTGAATTTTCTTTTATCCCGTGTAATAATGAAAAAGGGAGTGCACTCGAGGCACGAGGGGGGGCGGGGGGGAAGGCGAGCGGCAAGCATTGAGGGGGACGGAAGGCGGCCAATTCGAGCGGCCTTGCGCGGCGACGCGTGGGGGGCGGCTGCTCCCGTGCTCCGGCCGGGCGGGCGGGCGCCTGAGGCCTGAGGTGCATGGGCGACTTCGTGGTAGGAGAGAGCAGGGCTGCGGGCTCACGTGGCGCACGCATCGCCGCACGCGCCGAGCGGGCGGCGGAGAGGCAGAAGGCGGAGCGCCGCGCGCCAAGGCATCCTGCCACCGCACCGCGGTCAACGGGGTGGGACGCGGCACAAACGGGGCACAAACGCCAGGCTACAAAGACGGGGAGGCACGTAGTGACGTGAACCCTAGAGAAGAGAGGTGTCAAAGACCGACTTTTTTGTCTTTATTTAGGACACAGCCGCCAGCGGCTGACCGACAGGGTCCCCACATCACCTGCACGAGCAGGAGCTCGGAAGGACGAGGAAGGAGTGTTCATGTGCGCGGAGACCGAGAGAGTTCGTGGGGCGTTTGGGCCGGCAGAGAACAGGAAGGGAAAAACCAATTGGTCTACTGGGAATTCTTTTCCTGTGTACCTGTGTCAGTGCGCCAGTGCGCGCCAGTCCGCCAGTCCCGTGCTAGATCACTCCTCGATCTAGTGTTGTGCGAGGGAGTTTTAGTTAGTTGTAAAATTCGTTGGCCACTCCTACGCCTTTGGCAACACCGAAGAGACCAAGGCCCGCCGCCTAAACATGGGCTGCAAGGCGCGCGGGCAGCCCGGCCAACCCTTCTCCCACAAGACCGGCCACGGCTACGTCAAGGTGCATCGCGGTTTCTACCATGACGCGATCTTTGTCAAGCGCAACAACTTCAACCTGCTGCTCCACGAGACGTTCGGCGGCGGCTTCTCGCCCACCGCCGTTCTCAAGCTGCGCCGCCTCGCGCGCAAAGTCGCGCGCGGCAGCGTTGACCGCACGGCCTACTCGCCCAAGTACTCGCTCTGTTTTATCCGTTTTATGTCCCACCATGCAGAGCGCATCTCTCTCTCTGTTGTGCGAGGCGTGAACCGCGCCATTCGCTCTCACCTGGCAACCCTGTCTGCACGTCTCGCGCGCGCGTGAACAGGGCTCCAGGCCCCAAATGACGTGTGAGTGTTAGAGTTGTTTGGTATTGATTGCTGAAAATCTCTCTCTCTCTCAAAACCTGAGGGCTGAGGCCTGAGGGGTGGCAGCAGCCCGTCTACGGTCGACGGGCCACCCCTCGGCGCAAAAGAAAGAAGAAAAATACAGCGCACCACACTAGGCACGGGACTTCGCGAGCCCTTACGCTTAATACCGAAAAAAAGAAAACAGAACGCGGCGGCGTGCGCCAAGGCTTTGAGCGGACCTAGCCCGTTTCCAGCCCCAGCCCTTTGCCTTGAGAAGCGCACCCGCGCACAATGTCGCGCAGCCAACTTACCACCAAGGAGGGCAAGAAGCAGGCCGCAGCAGCTGCGAAGCGCCACGACGAGCTGGTGAAGAAGGCGGAGCGAGCCCTCAAGACAAAGGCCGTCAACCACAAAGAAACAGCGCGAGGACTGCTGCAGGCGGCAATCAAGGAGCAGCGCGCGCCGGCAACGATCCTTCTACTGGCGAACCTTCAGTACGATATGAACCGCTTCGCGGACGCGGCAACGTCAGCGGAGCTCGTGCTGCGATCCGGACCGGGCGCTTCGCAACAGCGAGACGCGGAGGCCTTGCTGGCCAGGATCGGAGGCAGCAGGAAGAGCAAGGAGCCGCAGACACCGACGTCGGCCATCGATGGGCTTCTGGATTCCGTGCTGGGGGGCTCAACTCCGCAGAGGAGATGCGCCTCCGACCCTTGGGCACCCAGCCTGCCTCCCAGCCAGCCCAGCACCGAGGCTCTCTCGTCGGTGGACGCGCTCTTCGGCGGAGCGAGCGCAAGGACACCGCCGCAGCAGCGCTCCAACCCGTTTGGCGACGAGGAGAGCTGCGGCAGCGCCGCCTCCAACCCGTTTGGAGGCGAGTCGGACCCAACCCCGTTTGACGAGGAGGAGGGCTCCGAGTGGGAGGGCGGGGAGGGCGGAGTGACGACCTTGGCGCTGCGGCCTGGCGACGACGCCGGGGAGGAGCACATCGAGGACCCTCTCGAGGTGGCGCTCTCGTCGCTGAGCAAGATTGCGACGCGCGTGGAGGAGCTCGCCCTCGCGGGGCCAGAATCGGAGGGCGAGCTGCTCCAGCTTGTACGTGCGCTCGCCAAGCTGCACTGAGTGAGGAGCTCCGGGGTTTGGCCTAGGGTTTGGCGACAGAGTAGTGATCATACTCCATACTGAAGTGACGTAAGTGGTGCGCGTGCGAGTACGTTTAGGTCTGCATGTGGCGACTGGTCGCGTTCGCCCCGCGCGCTCGCCTTTGGCCTGGGTGTGCCAGAGTGTGCTGTCTGTTGTGAGTCTTCACTCTATTCAGTCAGACTAGGATGCGGGCACCTGGCTGTGTGCGTGCAGGGCCGTGCACTCACCGCGTCTGGGTCTGGCGTCTGCGTCTCGCGCTCTCGCCGGACGCCGCTCCGACCCGTTGCACACACACGTTCGGACACAATTGCTGTGAGTGCTCTGTTTTCTGTTTTGTGTTTACTGTTTTCCAATATTAATTATTATAAAATTCCGTGTGTAATCTGTACGAAGCTCATGAGAAGATCATTCATGGTTCATCGCTCAGACAGTAGAAACACTGACTCGATCAAGCACAAGTGCGAAGTGGGTCTGAGGAGAGGCCGTCGAACCCGGGCGCGACGGAGAGAAGCGCAGAGCAGGCTGCCGCGCGCGCGACCAACCACACGCGTGCCCTGGGCAGCGGTGTGCGGTGTGGGAGGGTGCCGCGTGATGAAAGGCCAGTCGCTCACATGTAAGCCCCGGCTATATCGCCCTGGCGACCCAAGCAGGCGAGGCCACCGCCGGAGGGAGGTCAGGCCTCGCCGCCGGAGGTCTCGCCCTCGTCGGCCGACGCCTCGGCGTAGTACTCGCCACTGGCGCCTCCGCCGCCGCCGAGGCCAGAGTACGAGGAGGCGACCGAGTCGTACGAGCGGCGGCCGACGTGCTCCGGCCTCGGCGGCAGGGAGGCGAGCTCCGCCGGCTCGTGCTCCGCCCGCACCGAGTCCTCGTCCGTCTCGTCCATCGGGTCGTCCATCGGGGACGGGTCTGAGTGCGGCTCGTGCTGCGAGTCGGAGTCGCCCTCCCCCTCCTCCCCCCCCTCCTCCCCCCCCTCCTCCCCCCCCTCCTCCTCCCCCTCCTCTTCCCCCTCCTCTTCCCCCTCCGCCATCGAGTAGTCCGCCTCCTCCTCCTCGTCCGCAGGCTCGTCGAAGGAGGCGCCTCCCTCCTCGACGCCGGCAGGCTCGAGCATCGACTCGATGAGCGCGTCCGCCTCGGCGGAGTCGACGAGCAGCTCCTCGTCCTCCGCCCCCAGCTGCGCCTCTATCAGCCCCTCCTCCTCCCCCTCCTCCTCCTCGCCTGCCGCCGCCGCGTCGCCTCTGCTGCTCTCGCCAGCCGCCCCGCCGCCCGCGCCTCCCGCCTCGCCCGCGCCGCCCTCGCCGCCCGCCTTCTCGTTGTCGGCACCGCGGTTAGCCCCGCCGAGGCCGAAGAAGCCCGCCGTGCCCGCCGTCGGCTCGCTCCCCTCCTCGTCGAAGTTCATCGACGTCGCCGCGATGAGGGCCGCCAGCTCGGACGGCCGGTACTTCCACTCCTCCTCCTCGCCCACTCCGCCCTCGCCGCCGCCGTCGGAGTGGTGGTGGCCCGCCGCCTGCTGGGGCAAGGAGGGGGGCGAGGGTGAGAGGCGCGACGAAGCGGCCGCTTCCCGGACGACGCGGCCGCTTCCCGTGGCGGGCAGCTCCCCGCGTTGGGCTGAGGCAGTGGGGGCAAGTGCAGGGCGAGCGCAGGGGGGGTGGCGGGGCAGGGAGGGAGGGCGGGGGGGCAGAAACCTGCTTCCGCTCGCGCTCCTTGCGGGCCATGGTGCGTGCGACTGCGCGCGCCGCCGCGATCGCGCGCTCGAGCGTGCGCGTGTGGCGCTTCTCGTACGCGAGGTCGGCCGTCGCCTCGTCGCCGCCCTCGTCGTCGCTCGACTCCTCGCTTGGCACGGGGCGGTGGACCGGCCCGCCGCCGCCAGGCAGCCCAGCAGCTGGCCGCGGCGGCGCAGCGGTTGCTCGCCAGCCGGGGAGGAGGACCTCCTTCGCCTTGACCACCTGCGGCGGGCGGAGGGGCGCGCGGTGAGCGCCTCCTCCGGGCGGAGCCGTCTGCCTCCGCGCGCCTCGATCATGCGCGGCGAAGGGAGGTCGCCAAAGTAGACAGCAAATCCGTCGCTCTCCTTGGCCTCCTTGGAGTTAGAGCGGTTGCGCGACGGCGGGGACGGGCCCGACGGCCCCATCCGCGGCGAGCGCGAGTCCTGCCCTCGCACGCGCCTGCGGGGAAGGCTCCAGGAGAGGTCTGGGAGACGTCTAGGAAGCGCGAGTCGAGCCCTCGCAGCGCGCACCGAGAGCCGTCGTGAGGAACGTGCAGCGGAGGGGGCATGCTACCTCCGCCGGACCGCTCGCGCCGCTGCGAGCGCTCGCCCACGCGCGCGGGGGGGGCGACGCCCCACACGCAAATCTCGGCCGCGCTGGCGCCCTGCAGCAGCCGTCCTCGCCCGTCGTCGGTGCTCGCCGCGACGGTGG